CGTGCTTTTTGTTTACAGCGAGACCATCTCAGTCATGAAAAGTGGAAGTGGGGGGCGGGGAGCGGTGCGTTTGGGCGACAAATGATTTGGGACTGCGGAGCAATGAGCAGTGAAGATTTGTTCAAAGTGGGAGGAATGCATTTGATCAGTTTGTACCGATGGGGGGGGCTTGCAAACGGGGCTGACGTGTGACGAGGAGGGAGGGACGGCTTTGTTTCCCCAGTGAACGCGGAGCAGACGGCGCAAGAAGGAACGCCGCCGCTTCACGTCAAAGCTCAAAGGTAAGCAGAGCTGCGCTGTTGGCCCCAAATCAGGCTTACCTCACAGCGTTGCCGGCGTGGGCCTGCGAAATTCACGTCGGACCAGTCGAACCGGGGCTTTGTCTCCACACAAACGACACTTGTGCCGGCCCGAGCGGAGGTCTGGGTGCCTGGGCACTGATGTCATCGGGTGACATCATCAGCAAGCGCTCAGCCTCATCAATCATTTCAGTCGGGCTGCCGTCAAAAACCTCGACGCTGGCCAAACGGGTTGGACCGGTGGTGGTCTTCCCCCTCCGCAAGGCACCTGAGTCGACAAAACACGCACGTGAAGAAACGCGCCAGGCGCCGTCGCCACGGGACGGAAGACCTGGACAAAAGTTTTGGGACGGGCATCCAAAGTGAAACGTCAAGTGCGCAAAGCACAAATCGGGCGGCTCGACGCCCGACCGGCAAAAAGCCGGCGTCTGCTGTGCGCAGATCAGAGCCCGCCCGCGTCGGAGCCCCTCAAGCGGGTCGGCGGGAAAAATGTGCGAGCGCTCAAACATCAAGCGCGGAGGGATTGAGACGTATTGGACGCCAACTCTCGCCCTCCCGCCGCGGACGGCCCCGGACCGCGTTGCGTGCGTGCAGGTGTCACGCTGCCAGCGGCGAGCGATGAGGCATTCTCGAGCAAAACACAAATACACGTGTCGACGCGCGCAAAGCATGCCGTACGGTGCGTCACGCCGTCTATACCGCATGAATCGTGAAGCTTCCGAATCACACGACGCGCTCCCGACAGCATTTGATCTGTTGTCACGGCGCCAAAACCAAACATTCTTTTCCAACTGGGAAGAAAGTATTTCGGCAGAGCCCGACAGAACCTGCCAACTTTCATTTCATTGCACGTGTCGAAGACCGCAAAGATTGCAACCGCTTTCTCGCATGATCGTCTAACCGCCATGCAGTGAGGAGAATGTGCGCCCCGACGTCACGTCACGTCACGCGCAGACTTTACAAACTGGAGGACGTCGGCCACTGGCCCCGCTTCACCTTGTCGCTGGCGGTTGCTGCACAAAACAAAATATTGTGCAGACAAACCGAGCCCCCCCGCCCCACCCGCAGCCTGCC